GCTGGCTCTGCGCTCCGCCCCCCAGTGTCTGCCCAGGCCCATGGTCCTAGTGCCGGGCAGATAAGCCTTCGGCTGAGCTTAGTGGAACATGCCTTCACATCCAGCATTTGGAAGTGAGAAGCAGGAAGATCTCTGTGAGTGAATGAGCCCAGCCTAGCTGGAACTGAAGGAACAGAACAAACTTCATTTTGAAAAAAAGGCACCGTTTTCATATGTGGTCCAGGGCTGATTCAGCTCTGGCAAAGGAGCTATAAACAGTTCTAAGAAAAACCACAAACTGCCTGCCCCAGTCAAAGAGACCATACCGGGTGGCCAGCCAATGACTACATCTGCTCTCCCCAGATGCCCTTGCGGGCAATTCTTGTAGCTGTGTTAGAATTATCCTAGTCCCCAGCCAATGAATTTAAAGGTCACAATCTTACCCAATCATGAAATGCCAAAGCATGTGCCGCCCTGCTTGCGATTTTTCCCTTTAAAAACCTCTTATCCTAAGAGCTTGGAGTCATTCTCCTTCACTGGCTGCATGGAAGTGTTTGGTTGACAGTCGAAGCTTGAGCTTGTAATCAATAAACCCCTGTGTGTTGCTGGGTGGTGGTGCACGCCTTTAATCCCAGCACCCGGGAGGCAGAAGCAGGCGGATCTCTGTGAGTTCGGGACCAGCCTGGTCTACAAGAGCTAGTTCCAGGATAGCCTCCAAAGTCACAGAGAAACCCTGTCTTGAAAAACCAAAAATAAATAAGTAAATAAACCCCTGTGTGTTTGCATCCAGCTTGTAATCAATGAACCCGTGTGTTTGCATCGGTTGCTGACTCTGTGGTGGTCTCAATTGTGGGTCTCTTGACTTGAGCTCAACAGAAATAGGTGGGATGGATAGATAGATATGTTAGACCCCCAAAAACTCAAGTATCCGGGGTCCCAGGCCAGGATGGCGGTCACCCCAATCACCAGGCGGATTCGAGAGCTTGCTGCAAACTGCACAAGGCTTTATTGTAATTTAACGAGCTATCCCCATGTTAGCTCGGGTCTTTCACCCACCCGCCATGGTGGATGGCCAGAAAAG